GTTATTTCTTTACTCCTCTGGCCGCTGTTTGGAAAATGTGTCAAGTTTATGCTGTCAGCCAAAATACTATGCAATCTTGATGATGTGTTAGAATGCAATTTAGGTAGCAGTGAGGCCTGTAACTCCTCCAAATCAGTGTTCTGAACTCCACCTTCTTTAGATGAAGTCTTGTACTAAATGTTGGCTAAACTGTCTTTTCAACTCAACTTCTTGTTGGCTACTTTGAAAACTCTTTAAAATCTGAAGGAACAATCCTGAATTGTTTTAAGTGGAAGCACAATCCAAATCTAATTATTTAGATGAGGCTACTTGAATGTTGAGAATTAAGCCAGGCACTAGGTTTCAGCAAATACATTTGCTTGCCAAGTGTATATTGGTGTGTGTTTGAAGAGATCATTGGAAGTGTTATAATGGAGAAAGTATTGAAATACTTTGAATAGAGTTTGAATAGATGCGATTGAACTTTAGGGAAAAGGCTTGATCTCTCCTGTTCACCTGTTTCATTTTTTGAACTTGCTGTCTTTAATGTATTAATTTTTCCTTTTTTAAGGCAAAGAAAGGTATTAAAAGGAAGGCAGACACTACTACACCCACTACTTCAATTTTCACAATGAGTAGTGCGTCCTCGCCAGTACACTCGGATCACAAGCCTACAAAAATCTGCACCCTGAGTGAAATCAGTCAGTCAAGTAAGCCGCCTACAAAGGATCTACCAGATTCTCAACAGCATCCAGCTAGGAAAAAAGAAAAGTTGACAACACACTTGCAATTTTGCAATAATATTCTCAAAGAAATGTTTGCAAAGAAGCACGCAGCATATGCGTGGCCTTTCTATGAGCCGGTGGATGCTGAAGCATTGGGACTTCATGATTATCATGATATTATTAAACATCCCATGGACCTTAGTGCTGTGAAAGTAAGTTAATTTCATCTCTGTCACTCTCCAGACCTTTCAATACTGAATAAAGTTGGAAAGTGCTTATCATCTGTTTCATAAGGTAGTCAATTTCCATAAACCATATTTGGATATGTTCTTTTGATCCTGTATAGCAGAGTTAAATGCTTTCAAATTTTGAAGCTGTCTTGCATTTCATTGTCAGCTTTACACTAAAATAGGTTGGTGCATTAATAGCCATCATAATCTGAGCCTTTGGGGGCTGTGGAGTCTTCACATTGCTTGTTTTATAAGTGCTAAACTTGCGTTTAGTATATTTGTGAAAAAGAGGCTATTGATACAATGATAATGGCATCGTGTAGCAAAGGGAACCTGAAAGAAACTGGACTGGACCAAGTATTGTGCAGTAAAACATAAGGTGGGAAAATTCCAAGTGAAAAGGATGGCGTAAATCATGAAAAACTGTACAAAGATCTGTGGATGCTGGAGCTGTGAAGCAAACAAAAACATTGCTGGAGAACCATAGCAGGTCTGGCAACATCTGAAGAGGAAATCGTTAATGTTTCAAGTCCAGTGACCCTTCTTAACAATTGGAGTTCTTTAGAGTTCTGCGGAAGGATCACTGGACTCAAGATGTTAACTCTGTTTTCTGACTACGTGTCATGCATAGTTTGGAATGTTCTGACTTTTTCCAGTTTGTAACAACTTTGTACCACAACTCTTAATTTTTTTTTTTAGTCATTCCAGGATGTGGGCATCACTGGCTAGCCAACATTTATCAGCCATCCCTAGTTGCCCATCTAAAGGTGGTGGAGAGCTGCCTTCTTGAACCACGGCAGTTCTTTTGGTGCAGGTAGGCCTACACCAAATACTGTAATGCTGTTGTGGAGGGACTTCCAAAATTCAGCAACACTGAAGGAACAGTGATATATTTGCAAGTGATGATTGTGTGTGCCTTGGAAGGGAACTTGCAAGTGGTATTGTTTCCATGTATCTGCTGCCCTTGTCAGAGATGATGATGAATGAATAAATTTTGAAAATGAGGTCTGAGAAGCCTTAATGAATTTCTGCATAACATCTTGTAGATAGTAGCAGTAGTGTGTACTGTTCCTGTGGTGGATGGAGTGAATATGATACCAATGAAGCAAGCTGCGTTGGTCCTGGATGGTGTTGACACGATGAAGAGTTTGTTTTCATTGCTAATTGAAACTGGTGTCAAGACACTCAAATGGCTCTCCAGGGAGCCATTAATTATTCCAACTCTTTAGGGGTTTTGGTGGTGTTGTAGTAATGTCACTGGAATAGTAATCCAGTGGGCCAGGCTAATACCCAGGTCACATGGGTTCAAATCTCACCAAGGTAGCTGGTGGAATTTAATCAGTAAAATTGGAATTACAGGCTAGTCAGTAATAGTGACCACGAAATTAGAATTCATCTGGTGACTTCCTTTTTAGCAAAAGAGATTAGTCATCCTTACCTGGTCTGGCCCATATGTGACTTCAGACCCACAGTGTTGATTTTTGAGGCCTAAAGGTCTAGCAAGCCACTCAGTTCAAGCGCAGTTAGGGATGTAGAAAAATACTGGACTCATTAATGATACCTGTGTCTCATGGGCTGGTGGGAAGAGTCTTCAGGACATTGCAGTATAATCTTGTCACTAGAATTTTTTTTCCCCTAATGCTTCCCTCGAATGAGTTGTATTCCAAAGGTTGTGGTAAATCTGAAGTATTTCACTGTATTTACTTTAATGTTCTATCTCTGGTGAAGTAAAATTGTATCTACATCAAGGTCCTGATTTGTAAATGATGGATCAGTTTCATAAGTGAATTACTTGTGTTTTATGTCAGTACTTGATGTTAAGAGCATTATAACAATGATTTGAGAATGTAGAGTGTCCAGTACATTAGTTTTATAGGCATGAAAGAGGAAAATTAAGTTTGAAATTACTATCCCTGAGCCACTGGGTTACATTTTCCGTTTTGGTTGATCATTGAAGTTTCATTTGTGCCTATCATGGCTTTGTGACAGGAGAGGTTTTGTAGAATTTTTTTCTCTTCTGAAATTTTAGTCACCGCTCAAGGTATTTGGTACTTTGATCCACATCAGTCCTATTCTTCGTCCCCCCTTGTACAATGTCATTAACTGTACTCACTTGGCATTGCATAAACTTTGTCAGCTTACTTACATTGCATCGTGATTAAAGTAAGTATTCTAGGAGACTTGTATCCGATTAGTTTTCAATATCCAACAGTAGTTGCTCACGTTATTTCCACCTGAAACTTGATCAGAGTGTGTAAACTTCAACCCAGACAAAGGTCTTAGACACAAAGAAAGGAATAAATCTGAATGGACCACTTGACATCGACCTAGGCACTAGGAACAATGGCAAACTCAACCCTGTTGACTCTGCAAAGTCATCTTGGCCAACATTTGGATATTTGGGCCAAAGTTTGGAGACCAGCTCCACAGACCAGTCAATATAGTGGTACAGTACAATGTACTCTGGGTGGAGAATTTCAGTGTCCATCAACAAGAGTTGCTCGATAGCTCCACTACTGACCAAGCTAGCAGAGTCCTGAAGGATAGAGCCACTGGACTGGGTTTGCAGTAAGTGGTGAGGGAACCAAGAAGAGGGAAAAATTTACTTGATCACATCCTCACCAATCTACATGTCATAGATGTATCTGCCATGATCAATAGTAGTGATCGCTGTAGTCTTTCAGAGACAAGATCCGATCATCACATCAAAGATGCCTTTAGACTACATGTTTTATTTGGGAAATAAAAACCAAAAAGTGGAAGTTTGGATTTTTCTTCACCACTCCAAGGAAAGTGGAACTGTGTGATCACTTAATGGTTACACAAGGACATATAACTTTACTGGAACCTAGATTATGATACATTTGAGATCCACTGGTGGTAGGTGTCTATGAAAGAAGGGTCCCAACCTGAAATGTCAGCTTTCCTGTTCCTCTGATGCTGCCTGGCCTGTTGTGTTCCTCTAGATCCACACTTTGTTAGCTTAGCAATGGGGCTTGGATTTGCTTAAGTGGCACTTTATCACCAGACTTACAAGAAGCCTTCAGCAAGTGAAATAGTGCAGTTTCTTTTAATTGAAATAACACTCTAGCTCGAGCCAAGACAAGCTATTGAATTGAGGATTGCAATGTCATCAACAAAAGCCACAATGAAAATTGGGAAAAGCCATCTCATTCCATTGACTTTAACTTTGATTCGTGGCCTTGGTGATATTTTTGTTTTCTACCACAACATTCTTAAAAATACTACCTTTACCCATGAATGAATGTTTTGATTTAAAGGGGGTATAGTTTGTCTGCATTAGTAATCTGTTTCTGTCATATGTTAGAGAATGCATTTGTTATAATAAAATAGTAGGACTTAATTTCCAGCACACTATTTCAACTAGGGTTGTCACAAGATGTGCAAAACAACAACCATACTAAATGTGGCTGACTTCAAACAGATCTAGCAATTTCATACTGGCATCTAAAACGTGCTGTGAGTAATCAGCAGAGTTGTATTCAACAGCAATCTGTAATCTCTGGGCCTGGTATATTCTCTACTCCACCATTCCCATCAAGCCAGACGTTCTTTCCTTGTTCAATGAAAAGTGCAGGAAGGCATGTCAGCGTCGTCGTCAGCAGCAGCAGCACCAGGCATATCTAAACATGAGATTTCAACCTGGTGAGCCTACAACACAGGGCTATTTCCATGTCATACAGTGGAAGCAGGGGTCAACAGATTGGTTGTGAGGTTCTTTAGCCCTGCAGATCAGATCTACGCTCTGCAGCTCTGCCATATTGTGAATGGTGGTGGACAAATACATAGTTAACAGGAGGTGGAGGCTCCACAAAAATCCATTTCCTTGATGAAAGTGTAGCCCAACGTATCAGAGCAAAAGACAAGTTGGAGGTACTTGCATCATCTGCAGCCAAAAGTGCTAAGTTGAGATCCATCTCTACCACTTAGAGTCCCCAGCATCATAGATGCCAGCCTTCTGCCAATTAGATTCATACCATGTGATATCAATAAATAGCTGAGGGCATGGGACACTGCAAAGGCTATATTCTGTCACTGACGCACCATTTGGATTCTGCCAGAGCCACTTGGTTCCTCATCTCATGACAGCCTTGATGCAAAAATGGACAAAAGAGCTAACCTTAAATGAGAGATGAGTGACTGCCCTTGCGTTAAATCCACAGTCAACAAAGTAGACATTTAAAAAGCCCCAGCAAAATTAGTGTCAGTAGGAATCGGAGAAAACTTACCACTGGTTGGAGAGACATGCAGCACAAAAGGTGGTTGTGTTTGTTGGTTAATCATTTCGGCTCCTGGACATCATTGCTGGAGTTCCTCAAGATATTGCTTTGGCCCTAACCATTTTTAGCTGTTCCATAAATAACCTTCCCTCTATCCATAATGTTAGAAATGGGGATGATTGAAGAATGGTAAATGGTGCTGATCATACTTCAGATACTGCTGCAGTATGTGTACGCATGCACCAAGATTTGGGCAACATTTTGGGCTTGGGCTGACAAGTGATAAATAGTCATTACTTGGTACTTGTGTAGTATAAATACTATACTCTAAGAGATTTTAATCTTCATCCTTTGATTGTTCAATGGCATTACCATTGCTGAAATTCCCACTGTCAACATTCAGGGGGTATTGATTGAACGGCCATGTAAATATGATGTACATGAGAGCAGGTCAAACACTAGGAATCCTGCAGCAAGTAACTGTGATTCCTTTCCTCTCCACCATCTACAAGGCACAAGTCAGGAGTATGATGCAATACTCCAACTTGCCTGGATGAGTATAACTCCAACAACATTTGAAGATGCTTGACGCCATCCAAACAAGCTGCTTGATTGGCACCATATCTGACATTTTCAACTTTGATTTCCTTCACCAGTGCACAGTCAACAGGTATATTCTATCTACAAGATGCACTGCAGTAATTCACCAAGACTGCTTGCATCTTCCAAACCTGTGAAGTCTCCCTAGAAGGATAAGGCAGCTGATGCATAGAAGCAGTACCACCTGCAGGTACCCCTCAAAACCATACACCATCCTAACATGGAAGTAAATCACCATTACTTCACTGTCGCCACGCCAAAATCATGAAGTTTTTTTTGTAGTAGTACTGAGCATGTCCCTACGTCCCAAGAGGTTCAAGAAGACAGCTTACTACCCCCTTCTCCAGGCAGTTAGAGAGGGGGAGTAAGTCCGCAGGGCTCACCCTTATTTACCTCTTGATGTTTTGAAGTAAATCTTGCTGTTTAAGCCCTCATAATTTTTGTTAATGTATTACGCTGTACTAAATTAATCTTCAGAAAGTTTTGTCCATTGTTGTCACACAAAATTGTCATTACTACTTAAGACCAAGCATTTGTATTTCTGACTCTGATGAATATTGAAAGGAAAATTTTAAGGTCTAGTGATACTGAAGGTAGTGGACAGCTCCACAATCACCAGCAATCTATCATTTGATGCTAGAATCACTGTTGCATAAGATCTAAGTGACACACTAAGCAGGAGAAAGAGTTGAACATTTTTCATTGCCATTTTCTGAGCCCTATCCTTGATGTTTCTTGGCAGGGCAAGTTGACTAATTCAGAAGTTCTGGAGCATACTAATTCCATCCAGATGAAATACTGAGCCACGTTAGACAGATGGATAATGGATATATACCCATTGACCTTCTGTACAGCAAACTGACCACATGTCATGACCGGTTCCTGTTGCTGGTGGAAATTAACTGATGTAGACCAGACTAATGTTGATACTGGTAATTGTGTAGCCCTCCTGTAAAGAAAAATGACTGCATAAACTTGTAATATAGTTGGCATGAATACAGTCATCACGTAAAACTGAATAACTTAATTTCTGAAATTTCTTCAGGTTTCTGAAGAAGGGTCACTGGACCTGAAATGTTAACTCTGCTTTCTCTCCACAGATACTGTCAGACCTGCTGAGATTTTCCAGCAATTTCTGTTTTTGTTTCAGATTTCCAGCATCCACAGTTCTTTTTTTTTAAAACTCTTTTCATTTTGCTTTCTTTTTATGAAGAATTATTTGTTCTATCAAGATGATGTACTTTAAGTAAACTGAAGGTTTACGCCTGGAGATGTGTTGTTGACAGAAGGGTCTAGGCCCAAAACGTCAGCCTTCCTGCTCCTCTGATGCTGCTTGGTCTGCTGTGTTCATCCAGCTATACACCTTGTTATCTCGGATGCTCCAGCATCTGCAGTTCCTACTATCTCTGCATGCTAATTGTATGTCTACAAGCTCTTCCACTGTCCATCAAAACAAAAATGAATTGGTGAGAAGAGAATTTGAGAAAACAGGCCAGTGAATTTCTGACTACTGTCGTTTTCTGTAGCAAATACAACAGACTGACATGCAAGAATTAGTTTCTCGAGCCACACTAGGCAATGTTCAACACAATTAAGCATCGAGGTGCAAATCTTCGAGTTAAGGCTGTAAAAGAAGGGACATCATAGGAACCTAGCAGTCCCAGTATAATCTGGAGTCAGATTATAGCTTGATTTTGAAATGCAATAATGAAAACATCTAAGTGTTTAGCTTTGGCATGATGCGTATAACTCCCATTAGTGTTGTCATGTTTGATGTGGTTTGTTGGACCTTGTGCAAAATAAAATTGAAACATTTTTTAAATGCACTGTTACTGCAATTATATTTCTAGCATTTACCAAGTTGTAAGCAATATGTAAGCTTGTTCCTGGCCTTGAGTCTCTTCAACCAGTATTAATGATTTGCATTGTTACTAAAATTAAATTGAGATCAACTAATGCAAGGAATCACAACTATGGTTTGTGATTTATATTTGACCATTGTGGAGTTTTAGATCATTTTTCAACTCTAAGCAAAGTTGCAAAGTTTTTAATGAATATCAAATCCTTTCTTTTTTCAGGAGAGGAAATCCAGGCAGTTTTTCTGTGCTGAAATCAACGAGCAAAGTTTGATATACTTGATGTTCTAACAAATTTTGTTTCAACTTCTCTTTTTCAAGAGAAAAATGAACAACCAAGAATACAGAAATAGCCAGGAGTTTGCTGCAGATGTGAGATTAATGTTTTTGAACTGTTACAAGTATAATCCACCAGACCATGAAGTAGTAACTATGGGTAGAAAGCTTCAGGTAAGAGAATGTTATATCCATTCATGAAAAATTAATATTAATGACTGATCCCTGAGTGAGGTCACCCAATTTATTATGGCCCCATAAAAACCAAAAGAACTGCGGATGCCGTAAATTAGTAACATGAGGAAGGGTCACTGGACCTGAAACGTTAACTCTGTTTTCTCCTCCACAGATGCTGCCAGACCTGCTGAGCTTTTCCAGCAACTTTTGTTTTTGTTATTATGGCCCCACATGGAATACACTAAATTGTACAACTCCCAAGTGAAAAAGGATGAACTGGCTCCCATCTTCATGCATCCATTTCCTTTGGTCACAAAAAAGATTAATTTAAAAAGGATCCCTTCTTTTGTAAATACTTTTTTCCCCCAAAAGTGACCAGCCATAAAGATGAAATGCACGTTTTCATAGGTGCTGCCTGAGCCAGGCTTTCTTAGGTTAATGAAAGAATTTATTAATTATTAAACACAAAAGGAATCCATTCAATACATAAAGATCAGAGATGAGGGGAGTCTAAAAAATTTGCATAAAGATATATAACTAAATCAGAGTTATATGAAGGACAGCCATGATGTTGCTAGCCAAGCAATTGATTTTGAGATTCTTGGATTTGCAGGCCAGCTAATAGGCCTGATCCTTTGTAGCTAAGGTTTTGTTTTCAGTCTGACTTTAAGCAAAGAGAAAGAGAGACCTTCTTTCTCTCACCCAGACTGCTCTCTTTTTTTTTTTTTCTCCCAATATTTTCATTGTCCGAGTTAACTCGTGGTTAACTGTAGTTTAAAGGGAGTGTGCGTTGCAGACTGAATTCCTTTTCATTGAAGCTCCTTTGACACCCATCAGGCATAATGTTCCATGGTCTGTCTTGTGGTTGGGGATAATCTACACAGGCCTCCCAGTCAGTCAGTCACTGAACTAAATTACTCAGAATTTTCAGGGGGTTTTTTTTGTTTGGCTATATGTCATCACTTTTTAAAAACAAACTGTAATAAAAAGTTGAATTTGTAGGTGATCTGGCATTATGATCCACGATTGTGACAAACATTCATAATCAATAGTTTAATTGTTTGCTGAATTACCTAGAAAAATGCTTTGCAAAATCTTACCTCCTACATGGTATAATTGTTGCCTGCAGTATCTGTCACACCTATAAGTGACAGTTAACCAGTAACATGCCTGAGTCACCATGTTTTGAGTCACTATTCATAGTCAGATTCTGTATATTGAATATTGGCCATGGAGCAGTTTTAATTTTACAGGCCTTTGTGGCTCCTCCATCTCCCACTCCATACAACTCTGATCTTAATGCTGGATTTGGTTGAGTGGATGTAACACAAAGGGAGAGCAACTGATTACAATAAAATTTCAATGTCAGCATCAAAAGAAAAGTTTGAGTTATAAATCCTGAATCCTCCTGTTCTTAAAGCTGCTGCACTAACTTGAATTATCAAATTGGCACATTTGAGCTAAAACATGAATTTTTGTTGATATTTGGAATGGCATTTGAGGTTTTAAATGATTTTGTTATCCCAACACAATTATTTCCATGCACTGTTCTACTCAGTTGAGGTCATGTAATTAAGTGCAGCAGCATGAGAGGGAGGATTGGGTGCAAAACCTTAGCCTGTACTTCATTCAAACTGTCACCTTTGTCACTTATGTAGCATATATATCATAAACCTTCAGAGAGAAAAACGATCTTTTAGAAGAAACCTATTTTTAAACTAGTTCTCCAGTTAATCTGTATCCACTTTTTTAAAACAGGATGTTTTTGAAACGCTATTTGCACAAATATCTGAGCCTGTTAAAGCTGCATCATCGGCACAATCCACAACTCATTTCACTGAATCATCAAGTGAAGATAGTGACAGTTTCTCTGCTGAAAGTAGCTCCGACAGTTTAAGAAAAGAACAGAAGGATCGCCTTGCTCAGCTTCAAGATCAGGTTTAAAAAGAATTTCTAAAAAGAAAAAAGTCTTATTTAAAAATAAGATTTCAGTTAAAAATTATTCTGTCTTAGTGCCACTAATTTCTCAAATTGCTTACTTACTCTGTTTCTCCTCATTGCCAGATGTGTGCACTAACTGGGAGATCATATGATTGTAAAACTATATGTTTGACTGTTGGTACTCTGTTCTGTTAAGGCATGTTGTTCCAAAATTGGTTCCTGATCATTCATATCTTGAGTTGAGAAAATTTCCTTTTTCTGTGATTTCTTAGTTGTTGAGGCGTGTATTGGCTTTCCTCCAAAAGCAGAGGCTGTCATTAGTGAGTTACTGTAGCATATCCTTGATTGAAGCCCGAGCCACTCTGCAGTTGCCAGGATTTGTATCTGTACCTGTGACCACTTAACATTTGACTTTTTTATTTCAACTCTATATCCAGTCTCCGGCATTGGAAACCCATGGATTCTATGAACTATACCAGTTCCGATTTGTGTTCTTTTGGTCAAAGCCAATTACATCCTCCTCCAAATCATCTATATATATTACAAATAGCAAAGGTCCCACACTGATCCCTGAGGAATGCCACTAGTCACAACTCTCCATTCAGAAACGCACCCTTCCACTGCTACACTCTGTCTTCCATGACCGAGCCAGTTTTTTATCCATGTTGCCAGTTCACCTCCGACCCTGTGTGACTTTATCTTCTGTATCAGTCTGCGATGAGGGACCTTGTCAAAGGCCTTACTGAAGTCCATGTAGACAATATCCACTGCCCTACCCTCATCTTCGTCACTTCATCAAAAAACTCAACCAAGTTAATGAGACATGACCTCCTCTTAACAAAACCATGTTGCCTCTCGCTAACACACTTACTGATTTCAAGTTGGGAGTAAATCCTGTCTTGATGAATCCTCTCCAGTAATTTCCCTACCACTGACGTAAGGCTCACCGGCCAGTAATTAGCTGGATTATCCTTGCCACCCTTCTTAAACAAAGGAACAACATTAGCTATTCTCCAATCCTCTGGGACCTCCCCTGTAGCCAGTGAGGATACAAAGATTTCCCTCGAAGCCCCAGCAATTTCCTCCCTTGCGTCTGTGTTCTGGGGTATATCCCATCAGGCCCTCGGGACTTGTCTACCTTTAATGTTTTCCAAGACCCCCAATACCACCTCCCTTTTGATCTCAACATGACACAAACTATCTACACACCCTTCCCCAGACTCCTCAACCACCAAATCTCTCTCTATGGTGAATACTGACACAAAGTACTCATTTAATACCTCGCCCATTTCCTCTGGCTTTACATATAAATTCCCTTCCCTGTCCTTGTGTGGGCCAACCCTCTGTTGGCTACCCTTTTGCTCTTTATGTATGTATAAAAAGCCTTGGGATTTTCCTTAATCCTGTTGGTCAGTGACTTATCAAGACCCCTTTTTAGTCCTCCTGACTCCTTGCTTAAATTTCTTCTGACTTTCCTTGTATTCCACCCTTGCTTCATGTGTTCCCGGCCTCCTAGCCTTGATAAATGCTTCCTTTTTCTTTGGCTCACAATATCTCTCGTTATCCAAGGTTCCCTAAACTTGCCGTATTTATCTTTCATCCTTACAGGAATGTGCCAGTCCTGAGCTCCCAGCAACTTACACTTGAAAGCCTCCCTCACACCATATGTTGATTTGCCCTTAAACATCTGCCTCCAATCTACATTCTTCAGTTCCTGCCTAATAATGTTGTAATTAGCCTTCCCCCAACTTAGCACCTTCCCCTGACAACTACACCTATCTTTTAACCATCAGTACCTTTAAAGGTTACAGAATTGAGATCTCTGTTCCCAAGCTGCTCTCCTACTGGGACATCGACCACCTGGCCAGGCTCATTCCCCACTACTAGGTCCAGTACGGCCCTTTTCCTAATTGGACAATCTAGATACTCCTTACAATCTCTGCTCCATCCGAGCCCCATGCACTAAGTGAGTCCCAGTCAATGTACGGGAAGTTAAAATCACTCTCAACAACCACCCTGTTACTTTTACATCTTGCCAGAATCTGCCTACGTATCTGTCCTATCTCCCACTGGCTGTTGGGAAGCCTATAGCAAACCCCAAACATTGTGATTGCACCCTTCCTGTTTCTGAGTTCTACCCATATTGCCTCACTGTATGAGCCGTCTGAGGTGTCCTCCCGCAGTACAGCTGTGATATTCTCCTTAACAAGTAGTGCAACTCCCCCACCCCTTTTACATCCGCCTCTATCCCGCCTGAAACATATGTATCCTGGAACGTTAAGCTGCCAATCCTGTCCCTCCCTTAACCAAGTCTGTGTAATAGCAGCAACATCATAGTTACAAGTACTAGTCCAAGCTCTAAGTTCATCTGCCTTATCTGTTACACGTCTTGCATTGAAACAGATGCACTTCAGTCCAACAGACCTGCTTTGTTTCGCAACCACAGTTCCCTTTCAGTCAATTCACGTTTGCTTTGGTTCCCACCCTCCTGCCAAGCTATTTTTCCTGTCTGTAAAGTCCAGGGCCCTGTGTTTTAGTATATGTAGCTTCCAGTACACGCAAGTCCACCACACTGCAGGCCCAACTGATCTTAAATTGGTTATTAGCGTAATTCTTCACACACTTCAGATTATCTAGCAAATGTCAAACCTATTAGGACTTAATGGTGATAGCCAGCATGGCTTTGTATTGGGGAAATCTTGTCTCAAATTTGATTGAGTTTTTGAGGAAGTGATGAAAATGTTTGATATTTGTAGGGTAGTGAATCTTGTCTATATCGACTTTAATAAAGCATTTATTACCATCTCATGGTAAACTGATCCACAAGATTAAGTCACATGGGATTCATGGTAAATTGGATGCACAATTGGCCTCATCGTAAAGGACAGAGGGTGTTTTTCTGACTGGAGTTCTGTGACCAGTGGTATTCTGCAAGGATCAGTGCTGGGACCTCTGTTTGTAATATATACATTTGATTTAAATGAAAATTAAGGTGATCTGATTAATAAGTTTGTAGACGACGTAAACAATAGTGGAGTTGTGGATAGTGAGAAAGATTGTCAAACGGCAGGATATAGATGAGTAAGAAAGTTGGGCAGCGAAATGGTAGATTTTAATCCAAATGAATGTGAGGTGATGCATTTTGGGAGGTCAGTTGCAGGGGAAAAGTATACAGTAAATGGCAAGACCCTTAGGAGCAGTGATATACAGGGAGATCTTGGGGTGCAAGTCCATAGCTCCCTGAAAGTGGCAACACAAGTGGATGAGATGATAAAGAAGGTGTACAACATGCTTGGCTTCATTGGTAAGGGCACAGGTATGAAAGTTGGCACCTCATATTGCAGCTGCAATATTGACTTTAATTAGGCCAAATTTGGAGTATTATGCACAGTTTCGGTCGCCGCACTATAGGAAGGTGGTAGAGGCTTTGGAAAGGGTGCAAAAGTTTACCAGAATGTTGCCTGGATTGGAGGGTACTAGCTACAAGGAGAGGATGGACAAAGTTAGATTCTTTGTACTAGAGCGTTGAAGGCTGAGGCATGGATAGTGTTGGTGTTTGGACCATTTTTTTTTTTCCCGAGGGTACAAACATCAAGTGCTATGGGGCATAAGTTTAAAGTAAGAAGGGGAATTTTTTTTTCTGAAGAAGGGTCCAGACCCGAAATGGCAACTTTCCTGCTCCTCAGATGCTGCCTGGCCTGCTGTGTTCATCCAGCTCTACACCTTGTTATCTATGTTTAAAGGAGATGTGTGAATAAAATCTTTATATAAGTGGGTGGCAGGTGCCGGGAATGTGCTGCTTGGAAGCTTGGTAGAAGCAGATGCGATAGCAATAATTAAGAGATGTTTGATTTAATGTAGTCACATATACCTAAGTACAGTGAAAAACTTTGTTTGTGAGCAGTACAGGCAGATCATAGCAAACAAGGATGCACAGATCATAGCGTGCTTAGACAGAGCAAGGCATATGGATCATACTGCACAGGAGGTGCGCAAAGCAAGATCAACATTAGCAAGAGATAGTAAGAACTGCAGATGCTGGAATCAGAGATAACACAGAGTGGAGCTGGAGGAACACAGTAGGCCAGGCAGCATCAGTGGAGCAGGAATTTCGCCACCCATAAACTTGAGGAGCAGCACCTCATATTCCACCCCTGGAGCCTACAGCCAAAAGGCCTAAATGTGGATTTTACCACTTTGAAAATCTCCCCACCCCCGCCTCATCCCATGACCGATCCCCTCTCCCCCGCCTCCTTGACCCAATCTGTCCATCTTCTCTCCCACCTATCCGCCCCTCCTACCTCACTAACCAATCCCCACCACTCTATCTACCTGCACTCACCTATCACCATCCCACCTACCTTCCCCAGCCCCATCCCTCCTCTCTATTTATTTCTGAGCTACCTTCCCCCTCCCTGTTTCTGAAGAAGTGTGCCAACCCAAAACGTCAACTTTCCTCCTCCTCTGATGCTGCCTGGCCTGCTGTGTTTCTCCAGCTCCACACTGTTACCTCAACATTAGCAAGATCAATATTATTTGAAGTTAGAGAGTCCATTCATCAGCCTAATAACAGCAGGGAAGAAGCTGTTATTGAACTTGTTGGTGCCTGTGTCCATGCTTCTGTATCTTCTGCCTGATGGAAGAGGTCATAGGAGAGCATTACTAGGATGGAAGGGGTCTTCTTTGTTTTGTTCATTTCGTGGATGTGGGTGGTGCTGGCTGGTCAACATTTATTGCCTGTCCCTAATTGTCCTTGAGAAGGTTGTGGTGAAGTGCCGCCTTGAATCGCTGCAGTCTACCTGCTACGGGTTAACACACTATGTTGGCAGCCTTTCCATGGCAACGAGAAATGTAAATGGAGTCTATGGATGGGAAGTCGGCTTCCGTGATGGTCGGGGTGTGCACTCAACCTTCTGTGGTTTCCTATGGACCTGGGCAGAGCAATTGCTGTACCAAGCCGTTATGTACCTGGATAGTATTCTTTCTGTGGTGCATCT